TAGGGTACACCCAACATCTCCTGGAGTAGTCATCAATAAATGAGACAAAGTATTTTGCTCCACCTAGGGACGTTACCGGTGCTTGCCATACGTCAGAGTGAACCAATTCTAGAACACTTTTGCCTCTAGAATTTGATGTGTTGACCGGTGCTGCCTACTTGTTATGCAATGCTCACACAAAGGAAGTGATACCTTTGTTAAGCCTGAAAGTAGCTTTTGCTCCACAAGGACTTTCATTCCTTGTTCTGACATGTGTCCAAGTTTCTGATGCCATAGCATTGCCGAATCTGAACTACATGAGGCAACAGAGGCTTCTGCTTCTACCAAAGTCTCTCCCTTCAGCATGTACAAGTTTGCAACTATTTTTCGCCTTTCAGTACCACAAGCGCTCCACGTAACACTTTCATGATTCCTTTCCGTGTTTCAATCTTGCTTGCATTATTATCCAACAATCCGTAGGATAATAAATTTTTCTTTAGGCCTTTCACGTGCCGCACATCTCGAACAACTTTAATTGTTCCGTCATACATCTTTAATTTGATGGTTCCCACGGCAACGATCTCTAAGGCATGATCATTGCAACTATAAACAGATCCTCCTGAGACATGTTCATATTGATGGAACCATTCTCTTCTTGAGGTCATGTGATATGTTGCTCCTGAATCAATGAGTCATATATCTGCAAATCTTTTTCTTCCTTCCACGGTGGTTGACGCTTCACAGCATAGAACATCTCCATCATCTGAAGTGTTGCGGTATTACCTTGTGGATTGGAATTTTTATTTAGACTCCAATAATCCTTCTTCAAGTGACCCTTCTTTCCACAGTGGTAGCACTTTAAATTCTTCTTGCTCCTCGACTTCGATCTACCATGTTTATGACTGATGCTTTGACCACGTTCTGTTGATCTCCCTCTCATCGTTGTCAACGCTTTTGCTTGTTGCAGATTTACTTGTCTGTCTTCCTTGTGCTTGCGTCGATTTTCTTCTTGTAGGACAACAGCTGCAACGTCATCGAAGACTAGACTGGTGACATTACTGTTTGTCAAGTTGATGATGAGTTGATCATACGAATCCGGTAGACTTTGAAGTAGAAGTTCAGCACGTTCTTGTTCTCCTATTTTACAGCTTAAGGATGTAAGCTGAGAAAATAAGGTGTTCAGTATATTTAAGTGCTCCGTCACTGAAGTAGATTCTGGCATACGGAGAGTGTACAATTTCCTCTTAAGGAAAATTTTATTGTGCAACGATGTGGCCTCGTATAATTTGGTGAGATGATCTCATATCTCCTTAGCTGTCTTTTTCTCCTCGATGCTTGACAATACTTCATCTGCTAATGCTAGATGAAAGTTTTCCATAGCATTCCCGTCCATCTCGTTCCATTTGATGTCATATGCGAAATCCACCGGCCTTTCATTGATAGCCGCTAGACACCCGTCTTTCCTTAGGATGGCCTTCATCTTTAATTTCCACAATGAGAAATTTCTCCCATTGAACTTTTCAATGTCAAATTTTATTGTCATAGCTTCTATTATTGATAGCTCCCACTATTTTACTATTGTGAATAGTTCTCTAGAACCTCAAAGAATGGGTGATAACTTCTTATTTTCTAATGTTTGAGGATCCACCTTTTAGTGGCAACCACAAAGATAATAAGCAGATATTACATACTCAAATCTGGCTCTGATACCAATTGTTGCAGAAGACGGCTATCGGATAGAGCAAAATCGCAACTGATAATTTGAGAAAATAAAAATGAAGATAAAAGAGACACAAAATTTACGTGGAAAACCCCTAAAAAATTTAGGGTAAAAAAACCACGGGCAACAGTAGAAGAATTTCACTATGAGAAAATACGAATTACAACCTCTCTCGATCTACCAAGGAGAAAACAATGATAATTCTCTCTTGATAAAAAAAGGAGAAAACAACTCTCAAGAAACTCTCTAAATTCTCTCTAGTATTTGAAGAAAGCTAGAATGTTTTGGGATGGTTTTGAAGCTAAATGAGCTAGGGTATTTATAGTTGAAACTTAAGGATTAATCTTATAAATACCCTAAAGTTTAGTGACTAAAGTTTATAATTTACCTATTTAATTTTCAAACATTATTACACCTAATTTTGACATTGTTGCACCTAATTTTGATATTGTAATATTATGTGCCTAACTTGAACCAATTTTCTGCCGCTCAAGCTTTGACATTTCAACATTCTTTTCCCGTTCTTTGAAGTTTCACATCTCGGACTGCAATTTTCATCACAAATCTCCATTTCTTCTTCGCGTCGTGCATCATTTACTCTGCCTATTTTGTCACAAAACGAAATGATTAGTTTTAAATTTTTGGGTTTTAGAAAATAGTGTAGAGAGCGTAATAAAAAACATATAAATATAAAACTTATGAATTAAAAATCTCAATAGAAAAAATGCTTAGTTATAGTGGAAAAACAGTACTTGAGGTGAAGAGGAGAACGATGACAAGAATGTAAAATACTTGGATGAATTTAGCCATTTTTTTTCAAATTTTGTTTTCAATTTTCAACAAGTTTGGTAGAATATCTTTTTATACGCAAAATATAATTGTGATATTAAATAAAAAATAATAATAATTTTTTGGAATTTAGTTAATATTGAGTGACCTCAATAATAAAAGAGAATGTTATTCTCATTAGAGGACCCGAGTTAAGTAGCGTGTCTGCTGGATACGTTGTCAATTGATTAAGAAATTTCTAAACATTTACTCTCTTTTAATCATCATAGACTAGATAAACCTATTAAGTGAGCTTTAAATGATTCATAAATGAATTTAATGTTTGGATTTGATTAAATCCAAAACAAAAAAAATGCAAAAGATTTAATATATCTAGTTATATATAAAATTGATAGGGACTTAATAAGTATTTAAATCAAAAAGATGAGAGGATCCAAAGATTAATTTGCTAAACTTCAACATTGATAGGTTCCTTAGAAAGAATTAAACCAAAATTTCAACATGTAATGTAGTTTGTTCATAATTTTTTGGGTAAACTATGTATATAAGTCACTCAACTATTTCCACAATTCCATTTTAGCCACCCAACTTTTTTTTCAAAATCATCACTAAACTTACGTTTTATTCCGTTTTGGTCACCATACGTCAAAAAATAAACAGAATTATTGATGTGACATTTTTTTCATTGATGGCATGACATTACCTATGGTGACACATTAACATCACCGTTAATTTTTTAAAGATTGGTGACCAAAACAAAACAAAAACGTAACATTGATGATTTGGAAAAAGAATAGTTGGATGATCAAAATGAAACCGCAAGAATAGTTGAGTGACTAAATAAGTAGAGTACCTTATTTCTTTTTAACATTTTAATACGATTACAAGATAACGTCTCGTGTCCAATTTTGAATGAGTAAACTCACGCACACCTACACACAAAATTACTTGAACTCGAATAACCTAAGGAGAACAACACCCACATCCCCGTTGAGACCACTTCCTGAATTTATAATAATTTGAAACATTTACGAATAATTCATTCAACACTAATTTTATTCGATTGTAAACAGGGAATTACAAAACAAAATCTAGATATGCTTTGTTTCTAACAATTATAATAGCAAACACATTGATTTGAAATAGGTATCCCAACAACACCAATGCAAACGCCATACCCATCCATAGGGTCCGGGCATTTCGCTGCACAATTTTGGTTACAGCAGACATCATTGCAACGCTCACTGCATGTTCCAATTGCCACACTGCATTTTTTGTTTTCCGGCTACGGATTTTCGTCGTCGTTACCGTTGCCATTACCACTGTCGTATAAGCATTTGCATGTTCCCACCTCATTCGACGACGACTTCTCACATTCTCCTTTCCCATTCCTTGAAGCTTCACATCTCGAACTACAATTTTCATTACAGATCTTCACATCTCGAAATATCAATATGCTTGGTTTTATGGGGAAATAGTACCTGAGGTGAATAGGAGGAGGAGGACAAGAATATAAAATATTTGGAAGAATTTAGTCATTTTTTCCTGGAATTTTTAGTTAATTTTGTTTTTAGTTGTGTTGGTAATGATCTTTTTATATGGAAAAAAAGAATTGTGGTCCTAAATGAAAAAAATAATATTGTTTGGAGTTTAGTGGTAAACACTAAATCTTCTCTTTAATTGTATTTATTAATACGAAATCTATTTGAAAATTGTATTTATTATCATTGCATAAAATGATATTTTCTCACGATACTACATAAACTAATTTTGGATAATTTTATCTAGCATAATAATACCTTCAATAAATAAGATAAGGCATACCTATAAAAATTAAATAAGAGTGTTTAATCCTTGATTATATAATGAAACCAATTCAAAGGAGTCATGGGTCGGTCAAGTTGGATTTTTGGTCCATCCGAACTGAAATATTAAACTTCTCAACATACATTCGATTTGATTCAGGTTTAGGAGGATCCAACTCGATCTGAAACTGACCCAATTTTTAAGTTAAAATTCACATCTAATCCGATCCGACCCAAACCATATATATACATGTAAAATTTATTTTTATTAGGTAAAATATTGGAAAATATAATATAAAGATGAATATTATTACAATTGTCCCTAAATATATAAGAGATAATTATAATATTTTCTTGAGTCGAGTCGAATTTTTTCACCCTAAACCTAAATTTGACCCAATCTCACTCTTTAAAAAACCTCGACTGACCTGAACCCAAATATTTTAATGTCAAAATCCATCATATTCGAGTTAAATACAAATCCCAATATATAATAAAACTGTCTTAGTTAAGTAATGAGTCATTTTATGATGATAACAAGAGCCACCAATCGTGATAAACCACTAATAACACCTTATATTTGGAATTTTTTTATAAAAAAAAACTAAATTTAGTTAGCAATGGCATACCTTGTGGTGAATCCTTATAATATAGTTTCCCTACTTTGTTAATTATCATCATAAACCAATCCCTTTCTCATTCTATCTTCTCTCTTATCCTCAATAATTTCTTTGATTCCATATCATCCATGGAATCAAAGCTTAAGCCATCGGAGCTGATGGCGATTTCGGTGTTGTTAGCATTGTTGAGCCTGCAAAATTGGGCAAATGCAACTCCCCAAGTGCCATGTTACTTCATATTCGGGGACTCGTTATCGGATAGCGGGAACAATAATAAACTCTTGACGTCAGCTAAAGTAAACTATCCACCTTACGGGTTTGATTTTCCCCAAGGACCGACCGGAAGGTTTACCGATGGTCGAACCATACATGATTTTATTGGTATGACATTTCTCTCTTCTCCATCTCGATATGTTCTCGAAGTTTTTTTAATGATTGTTTATCGATGTTTTGTTCGAAATGTTTATGATGATAGTTAAGCGTTTGGGGTTCAAAGATTATATGCCTCCTTTCGCCGATTCGGAAGGGAAGAACATTCTCAACGGTGTCAACTATGCGTCCGGTGCCGCAGGCATTCTTGACGCAACTGGATATCATCGGGTAAATTCAAAAAGCCATCCATCATCAGATACTGGTACAACGAACTCGATCCAGCCCGAGTTTCGAATATATGATTCGACATTCTTATTATTGCATATAATGATATAATTTCTGATGTGTCCTGCAGGGTGGTCGGATACCTTTTAATGAACAGATAAAAAATCACAAAATTATAATCTCGAGAATTACAGATTTAATGCGAAATGATTCGGCGACGAAATTGCATCTAAGCCGATGCATTTACTCGGTTCAAATCGGAAGCAATGATTACATCAACAACTATTTCAAGTCGGCGTTGTACCACAGCGGCCGACGCTACACTACGCAGGAATTTGCTAATGTACTCATTGAGCAATTCTCTGTTCAACTTAAGGTAATCAACATTTAAGCATTTAATATATGCGTGTATTGAAATTTAAATATGAACCAATTTCTCCATATACTATACCAGACTTTGTACGATACCGGTGCAAGAAAGTTCGCCGTGTACGGGCTGGGGCTGATCGGTTGCACTCCGGATGCACTCTCGGTGTACAGACCTGATGGAATGCCTTGTGTGCAGAAATTAAATGATGGTGCAACCCCTTTTAATGAAAGACTCAAGCCACTTCTCGATGAATTCAACCGCAATCTAACCGATGCTAAATTCACCTATCTCAATCCTTCCGGAAATCCGGCCGGTCTCGGTAAACATCACTAGCTTTGCCTCTAGTAGGAATTTCGGTAATCGGATGGATGATTTAATTAACTTGTTTCGGATTTCGGTTGCATGTTGTTCATGGCATTCAGTGACGAATAGTTCATGCTGCCAAACCGGGGGTGGTGACGGTGAGCTCTGTCATCCCAATTCGAAGCCGTGCCGTAACCCGAGGCAGTACTTATTTTGGGACGGTGCCCATCCGACCGAAGTTTGGAACGAGATGATCGCGAAAAGTGCTTACGACTCCGAGAAACCCGAGGAAGCTAATCCATTTAACATTCGAAAACTAGCAATGCAAGTCATGCCCTTAAGCTTTGAGAAGCATCGATTGTAAATTTGAGAGGGGAATTCAATCATTTACTGAGTAAAGAATAAGAAAGGGGATGAAGTAAAGAAATATATGTATTGTCGTTCGTATTATTTTTGTGTTTAAAGTATTAAAAATCACATCTTTATATATTAATAATCCTGAGTATTTATGTCATGTTAATGAATTTCATGTAGCTTACTTTGAACATTAGTTTCTCATGAATCATTTTGAATATATTATACATTGTTTAGGTCACGTTGAGTAGAATATAAATTATAATTTTATTATTCCAACATCCAATTTTATCAACTAATAGCATATCTCAAAGTTGAAAAAAATTCATTATTTTTCAATAAAAACAACACTTACCTACACTATTTGTGTCCTCGTCGTCTTCGTTGTCCTTATTAAGCTTTATTTCTCTGCTAATTGTTGAATGTTAAAAGGAGAAGCTTCGAGGGGGGACTTGGAGCTATAAGCACTTTCGGCGATGATCTGATTCCAAGCCTCGGCTGGATGGACGCCATCCCAAAATACGTATCGCCTTGGCTTATTGCACGGTTTGGAATTACGAAGGCAAAGCTCTCCGCCACCTCCTCCGATTTTGCAGCACAGACCATTTGTCACTAAATGTCCCAACAACATGCAACCAAAATACAACACCACCTTTAATTTGTTTTTCATTAAAAAAATTAAAATAGAAATTTTATATTTTCATCCTTGTGTCACATCGACGCTGCAATTATCATTATCTAGAGTCTTCTCTAATCACTCAACATATCGATGAACTCGCCTTATTATCTACTACCACTCTATCAATTCTGATTTTACCTAAATCACTTTAAACTCAACCCTAAACCCAAAACTCATAAAACCCCAAACCAATCTAATATATAATATCCACCATTTGATCAATGTATAATTAATATATACAATTCACTTCCTCCTTCTCCATCTCCTCACCATTGAAATTTGGAATAAGATGTTTCATTATCGAGAGATCAAAGGAAATTTGAAGCTATGAGTTTTTTTTCTCAAAATAATGAAGAAAATTTTGAGATCATTTTATAATTTTGAAAAGAAAAATATCCAATCATAGCAATGTTCAGTATTTGACGGTTAATTGACCAAAACATGAGCAAATTGAAAAATTTTAAATTTTAGTAATCAAAATAAGAGTAAGAAGAAAGTTGAGTGATGAAATTTACAATTTACTCTGAAGATAAAATTGATTCGGCTAATGGGTATTTGAATTCAAACCTATTATTTGCAAAGGTAGGTTTGGATAAGGGACATTCTAGGGTAGAGATGGATACGAGATTTTATATTAGGAAATGCATATTTGTAAGAAGTTATATTAAAAATTTAGAGGGTGAAAAATTACAAAAAAAATCAGAGATACAAAATTATAATCAACAAAAAAAAATTCTTAAATGATATGTGAATTTAAAATTTCTAAGGATGTAAATATCTACAAATATCCGAATTCATACTAGAGGCAAAGCTAGTGATGTTTACCGAAACCAGCTGGACTTCCGGAAGGATTAAGATAAGTTACTTTAGCATCGGTTAGGTTCTTGTTAAGTTGATTGACCAGTGGCTTGAGCCTATCATTGAAATAGGTTGCACCCTCATTTAATTTCACTACACAATCTGACCCATTGGTTCCGTACACCGAAATTGCATACGGGGTGCAACCGATCTCTCCTATCCCGTACACAGCAAACTTCCTTGCACCATGATCGTACAAAGCCTGGCATTTACTTCCTTTGATTAGTCTTAATTTGATTAGAAAAACAGGAGAAAATTTAATACTAATCACCTTAAGTTGAAGTGAAAGTTTTTGAACGAGCAGCGTAGCGTACTCTGGCAGAGTGTAGAGTCGGCTGCTGTTGTAAAATTCGGGGTTGAAATAATTGTTGAGGTAGTCGTTGCTTCCGATTTGAACCGAATAAATGCATTGGCTCAGAAGCGAATTCATCGTTGAATCATTTCGCGTTAACCTCGTCAGCATTGAGATTATAGTTTTGTGATTTTTTATCTGCTGGATGAGAGGTATCCGAGCACCCTGCACAAGAATATGTTCAAGTGTTGGGTTAAATTTTAGGTGTTTAAAGGTGGAATTGAATCAAAACTATCGAGAATTTACCAAATGTTTTCCGCTTTCGTCGAGAATGCCGGAAGAACCCGACGCATAGTTCACACCGTTGGAAATGTTTTTCCGTCCTAACTTGGCAAAAGGAGGCATATAATCTTCAATTCCGAGTCGTTTAACTATCGTCACACAAAAAATTATAACTTCATCCCTGACCGTAATACTAACATATAATCGTAAAATTTGTGTATATAAAGAAACGGGAAAAAAGAAGGTTGTACCAATAAAATCTTGCATGTTTCGGCCGTTACTAAACCTTCCTGTTGGCCCTTGGGGGAAATCAATCCCATAAGGTGGATAGTTTACTTTGGCCAATGTTTCGAGGTTATTATTGTTCCCGTTATCCGATAACGAGTCCCCGAATATAAAGTAGCATGGCACTTCGGGCTTTGCATTCACCTTGTTCGGAAAACTCGACAGTGCTAACAACACCGAAATTGCCACCAGCGCTGATGGCTTAAGCTTAGATTCCATGGAAGATATAAAAAGAACGAAAAAAATGGAGTTTTTTTGTTTCACTAAAATGGGTGAGTTAAGGAAATATAAGGTTGGAAGATAATAACAAATTAAACAAAGAAACTATATAGGGAGAAACGAGTTTCGATGTTATTTAATCACTGGGACAATGAGATTATCGATTCCGTGTCAAAAATTTTAAATATATCTATCTATATATTAAACTCATGCATTGTGAATGAGTTCGGTTCAAAATTTTAATGAAGTGGAGAACTTGATCGTGCACGTTATAATCAATGGGGATGTTTTGTTTAATGTTTTTAGGAGTTTTTTTAATTGTTTTAAATAATTATTAAGGATACGTACTGGTTTAGAATTAAAAAAATATTTTATTGAAAAATAAATATCGAAATTATACCTTTTGGATGCTTAAAGGATGAGGACACAAGTCGTGTATGTAAGTGTTGTCTTAGCAGATGATTGAATTACCCTCTCAAAATTACAATTGATGCATCTCAAAGCTTGAGGGCACTATTGCATTGCTAGTTTATGAATATTAAACGGATGAGCTTCATCGGGTTTCTCGGAGTCGTATGCACTTTTCGCAACCATCTCGTTCCAAGCTTCGGTTGGATGGACACCGTCCCAAAATATGTACTGCATCGGGTTACCGCATGACTTCTAATCCGGAATGCAACCGATCAGCCCCAGCCCGTGCACGGCGAACTTTCTTGCACCGGTATCGTACAAAGTCTGGTGTACATGAAGCAATTGGTTAATGTTTAAATTTCAATACATGCATATATTAAATGTTTAAATGTTGATTACCTTAAGTTGAACCGAGAGTTGCTGAACGAGTATATTAGCAAACTCCTGCTAATTGTAGCGTGGGCCGGTTTGGTACGACGCGGACATGAAATAGTTGTTGATGTAGTCATTGCTTCGACTTGAACAGAGTAAATGCATCGGCTTAGATGTGATTTGGTCGACAAATCATTTCACATTAAAGCTGTAATTTTCGAGATTATAGTTTTGTGATTTTTTATCTTCTCATTTAAAGGCATCTGAGCACCCTGCAGGACACATCAGAAGTTATATTGTTATATGCAATAATAAGATTGCCGAATCATATATTCGAAAGTCAGGTTGGATCGAGTTCGTGTATAGTATCCGATTATGATGATTTCCAGTCACGTCAAGAATGTCACTGAATTAGGTTTTTCTTTCTCTGAATTAGGTCTTTTATAACAATTAATATTATTTTATAATTTACATTTATGTAATTGTATAATTACAGTTTATACATCAGCTATGACCTAAAGAACTAAGAATGTTCTTCCCTTTTGATTCGGCGAAAGAAGGCCAATCATCAACAGAACTTCGAAAATATATGGAAATGGAGAAAAAAGAATATCATACCGATAAAATCATGCATGGTTCAGCCATCGGTAAACCTTCCGGTTGGTCATTGGGAAAAATCAATCCCATAAGGTGGATAGTTTACTTCGGTCGACGTGGTAAGATTATTATTGTTCTCACTATCTGACATCGAGTCCCTGAATATAAAGTAGCACGGCACTTTGGGACTTGCATGTGCCCAGTTTTGCGAATTCAACAATTCTAACAACACGGAAATCGCCACCAGCCCCGATGGCTTAAGCTTTGATTCCATGGAAGATGAAGAACTAAAGAAATTAAAATAGTATAAAATTTTGAAAAGTTTTTTCTTTATAAATCGAGTTCACTGTTCATTGTCTCACCCAGTTATGATTCATATTTTAAATTTGTCCCTAAACTATGGTCTCATTCTTATATTAATTCTAAAACTTAAAAATGCTCTATATCAATCCTTAAAATGTTAGTATCATTCCATTTGATCGTACCGTTAATTTTATTGATTTTTTAAGGCCGTCGAAATTGAAGTTGTTACGTTCTGAACAGATAATTAGGATAAAAATTACATTTTGCTATCTAAATATATTTCGGGAATTAGAATTCAATATAATTACACAAAGAGTGTAATTATTATTAAACATTACTGCGTTGGTAATTTATGATTGCTAAATGGAAGACCCTAAATTAAGTTTAGGGGTTGATTTTTTTATTTAAAGGTGAAGAGGTGACCGTTGAATATATTTGGGTCTCTAATGTGTCTAAGTAAGCTTTAAACAGTCAACTATGCATTTTGTCACGACTGTTAAAGGCGAATAACGGCGAGTGACCAATTTGTAATAAATCGATAATATTAATGACCAATTTCTAACTTCTAAAACTTCAATGGGGAAAATGAAAACTCACTCAAACATTAATGATCATTTGTGTAGGTTACCCTATTTAAAAAGTATAGGTTAACATTGTTAGTAAATTAGTGCTAAAAACTAATTTATGCAACGACAATCATAAATGCAATTAGATATACAATAAAACTAAATGACTATAATTACAATTAATCTGTTGTGGAATTCGGGTTAATTTTCACAAATAATAACAAATTCACTTTGAAAACTATTATCAAGGTGACTAGTGTGAAAACGATTGTACTAAAAATCACCCCAAGGTAGATTCCCAGGAAAGAGGAGGGGTCACAATGGTCCCTCTTAAAATCCACTTTCCTTAGACAGAACTACCAAGACAAGTAATTTTAATAGGACAATAATTAACAACTATACCCGACAATAGCTATTAAATAGACATAAAGAGAACACCAAAATTTAACGAGGTTAGGCCAAAATTATGCCTACCTCGTCGAACACTACTAAAATAATATTTCACTAATAGAAGAAATATTACAAAGAGAGAAAGAGTACAAATAGCCTTTAATAGTGAAGAAGGCTTATATTTGTGGGATGCAAACTAAGGAGGATGAGGGCTCTATTATAACAAAAGAATTTTCACTCCTCCTTATACAAAACCAATGTGGGATATTTGCCAAAAACCAACAAATCTCCACCTTGGCAAATTCCACACATGTCTCTCAAAAAATCCAATCTTCAGTAGTGTCTGCAAATTCATCTTTCAATTTATAACAATATTGACCAAGTCTAAACAATGTTTAAACTTGATCGCAGTTACCACTTTTGTCAAGATATCAGCAAGATTCTCAGTGGTCTGAATCTTCTGGATTATGACTCCATCTTCTTCTAGAATCTCTCGTATAAAGTGATATCGAACATCGATGTGCTTCGTCCTTGCATGGTAAACTTGGTTCTTTGCTAAATAAATAGCACTCTGACTGTCACAGTGCACTTTGATGTGCTTTTGTTCCATTCCCAATTCACCAAACAACCCTTGAAGCCAAATTGCCTCCTTCACAGCCTCTGTAACTGCCATATACTCTGCCTCTGTAGTAGACAAAGCCACTGTTGACTGTAAGGTGGACTTCCAACTGACTGGTGCTTTTGTAAATGTAACACATAACCAGTAGTTGATCGACGCTTGTCCAAATCACCTGCATAGTCTGAATCACAATACCCAACTATACACTGACCATCTTGTTTGTCCTGCTGAAAGACCAAACCAACATCTACGGTGTTCAGAATATATCGCATAATCCATTTCACAGCTTCCCAATGCTCCTTTCCAGGATCATGCATATACCTGCTCACAACCCCAACTGCCTGTGAAATATCGGGTCTCGTACACATCATTGCATACATTCAGCTACCAATAACACTTGCATACGGAACCTTTGATATGTATTCCCGTTCTGCATCATCCTTAGGTGACATGGATGCACCGAGCTTGAAATGAGGAGGAAGAGGTGTACTAACTGGTTTTGACTTCTCATTCATGCCAAAACATTTTAGTACCTTCCTCAGATATTCTTTCTTAGACAAACAAAGCCTCCCCAATTTCTTATCCCTTGATATCTCCATGCCTAGAATCTTATTTGCTTCACCAAGATCCTTCATCTCAAACTCCATGTTCAATTAAGTCTTTAGTTTCGCAATTTATATCTGACTCCTGGAAGCTATCAGCATATCATCAACATAAAGAAGAAGATATATATAGGATCCGTCATGTAGCTTGCGTAAATACACACAATGATCATATTTTCTTTTTGTGTACTTCTGCCCTATCATAAACTTGTCAAATCGCTTGTACCATTGCCTTGGAAATTGCTTCAATCTGTATAGCGATTTTTCTAATTTGCACACCATCTCTTCTTTTTCAGTAACTTTGAATCTATCTGGCCGAGTCATGTAGATTTTTTCATCCAAGTCTCCATGTAAAAATGCAGTTTTTACATCCATCTGAACTAGTTCCAAATCCAACTGTGCTACCAAAGCCAACAAAATTCTGATGGAGGAATTTTTACAACTGGAGAAAATACTTCATTATAATCAACTCCCTCCGTTTGAGCGTAGCCTTTAGCCACCAATCTTACTTTGTAGCGGATGTTAGTTTTGTCAGGAAATCCATCTTTCTTTGCATATACCCACTTGCACCCAATTGCCTTCTTTCCCTTCGGAAGACTAGCTAGTTTCCACGTCTGATTCTTTTGAAGGGATTTACATTTCTTCATTCATGGCGATCTTCCACTTTTTATGTTCTGAACTTTGGAATGTTTCATTAAAAGTGGCAGGAACGTCATCAATTGCAATTGGTGATGCAAAAGAGACCATATCAGCATAACGAGCAGGTTGTCTAATGATCATCTTTCCCTTTCTAAGTGCAATTGATTCATGTTGTTGTGGAGGTTCTTGGGTCTGAACCTCTTCTTCATCTGACTCTTCTTCTACCATAGAAGAGTCAACATCAGTTTCTTTACTGGCTGAGTCAATTTTGCTTCCTTTAAACTCCACCTGTTTGGGAGTTCCATCTGTCTGCTCCAATTTTTCTAAAGTCACCTTTCTCAACATGGTAGATTCATCAAAGGTAACATCTCTGCTGAAGATTATTTTCTTTGTTTCTGGACACCAAAGACGATAACCTTTCACACCAGAGGTGATCCCCATAAAGATCACATTCTTTGCTCTTGGATCCAGCTTTGACTCCTTAACATGGTAGTATGAAGTAGAACCAAA